ATGCGAATCATCGACGCCACGGACACGCCCATTGACGAAAACGCGCAAATAGCACAACTTTTCATCGTCAATGCCTTTAGAAGGCACAGCAGAAATTTGACGTCGATCCGACTAAATCCCTAGGAGGAGTTCGTTAAAGTACGAAGTGTGTAAATCATCCAAAATGGCCATAAAATTCAAAATGGCCGACTTCCTGTTGACTTTAGGCTATGGGTTCTTGAGGCTTTTTTGTGCGTCTTGACATGATACATGTCCCCAGAAAATTTCGTAGATGTAGGTTGAACGTGAACGAGGGGCTAATTTTTCCAATTTTCTAGGTGGCGCTAGCGAGTCATTTTGCAACGCCCATGTGCGAAACTTGTAGAATACGAAATTTTTCACCGGTTCTGACATGTTTGCAAATTTTGGTGAGTTTTCGAGTATGTTTAGGCCATGTCATTTGGGCCTACTTTGCAGAAAAAAGAAAAAAAAAAAAAAAAAAAAAAAAAAAAAATTAAAGCTGCAAGCAGCGTTGGGCGGGCCCTCGCACTAGTAGCGCGCGCGTGAGCCGGCCGAGTTGCATATTCTGGAGCTCTGCCGGTGCGGCGGCTGTGAATTTCCTACGCGGTTTCCGACGCCGCATGAATGTGCTATATGTCACTTCCTGTGTCCCCTATGTGGAGCTACATAGCACTTGCCGCTATGAATATAAATCGGTATTGACGTGTAGATGTCTGCGGGGTGGGAGAGTTATCAAGCACGTAAAGTTTGTTTCAGATGTGAGCATGTACACTGAACAATAATGTACCCAAACAATAAAATAAATTCCTTTTATATTTCCCTGCCTTGTTGTTTATGTGTACATACAGAGGAAGAATGGAGAACAGCACACATTTCATCGTTACTGTGTGTTAGAGCATGGGAGAACAGTGGATACTTTTAATACAGCCACACCCCTAATACTGTGTAACTATAACAAGTAGAGAACAGAAGAAAAAGATGTTCTTTCTTTACAACTGTCTGCATAGCTTATTCATATTGTGTAATGAATGAAAATAAATAGGCCTACTAGGCTCCTCTCTACTTTGACATTTAAGATTAGCTTGTTTGATCCACCTTCATACACATGTGACATTACTGTACAACTTGAGAAAGGTGAGTTGTTTTCTGCTCCAGCCTGCCTAAAAGAAAAGCGTTTTGGGATTAAATGGACTTTATTAGCTGCTGCAGTGCAGGATGAACTCAGAATAGACCCATTTCTCACCTTATTATTCTAAATCATGCAACGAAGAAGAAGAAATGCATAAGAAATCCTGGGACAAAATCTGTCCACAAATACTGTACAGCATGTAGTCTGATGATCAAGACTTGTGTTATAGCTGACTTGGGCAGTGAAATGTTTTTTTAATTCATGTGGTCATAGTTGTCCACAACTCAAATCAGAATATAAGAAGAAATGTTTTATACCACCTCAAGAAGGCTTCCTATCAGAAAGGTAGGAAGGTATTTCAAATGTACAACTGCAGTACTTAAATCTAAGTAAAGTAATTTCCCTGACATTTTTGTGTTACTTTACTTTTAATAGACCCATGTAAGAGGTTTTATACTTCCTGTGAGTATAATCCAATCAATCTTATTTTCATACTGTATATCCGTTGTGTAATTTGATAAATTGTGTTGTATGTCGTGCTCGCATCTCAGAGAAGACTCTGACTGCAACATGCGTCTTTGTAAAGAGAGAAACGACAGAAAAAGTCTCTAACTCTGCCTGTCAGCTCGCTCTGCTCCGTTAAAACTGAATTTACCATACAGAATTGAATACGAGTGCACTCCAGATTTAGCTGCAGCCAGCTGACCGTGTGCTTCTCCCTATACCGCAGTTCTGTGTCCATGCATGCAGCAAACTGAAAGCACTGTCTGTCGGGTCTACGTGAAAAGAGAAGGAAGACATTGCTGGTAGTATTGTCTTCAGAGTTGTTAAACACCTCAGCGCACTGAAGGAAGCCATCTGACTGTGTGAGGGGCAAGATCGTTGATGTCTGCAGGCAGAGTAGGAGCTCTCCTGTCTGACTGGTCCACCAATAGCAGAGAAGATGACCCCTTGAGACACAGCCCCTCCTCATTTGCATAATGAGGCAGAAATGCATAAAAATTTAAGACAGGCAGAAATAAATACCATGGGTGAAAATAAATAAGGTAAATAAATACAAAGGAAGAATAAAACAGACAAAAATATTAAAACACACACATAAATAAATACATTAAAAAAATTAGTAATAAAAGTTGAATAAACAAATAAGGTAATTATAACAAAGGTGAATAAGTAAAGGCACTAATTAAAATATATACATTTATGTCTCCTTGTATAATTTAATTACTACCTACATTTATTTATTTACTTATTTTTTTGTGTATTTAATTGGATGCTTATTTATTTATTGAGCATTTATTTATTTCTGTATTTATTTCTGACTGTGTCAGGATCGGTCCTCCATAGCGGGGTGGGAGAGTTATCAAGCACGTAAAGTTTGGTTCAGATGTGAGCATGTACACTGAAGTTACAACAACTTCCTGTGTCATGGCGAAGACTTGATCTCTGACGCCACGCCACGGACACACCCATTGACGAAAACTCGCAAATAGCACAACTTTTCATCTTCAATGCCTTTAGAAGGCACAGCACAAATTTGAAGTCGGTCGGACTAAATCCCTAGGAGGAGTTCGTTAAAGTACGAAGTGTGTAAATCATCCAAAATTTGACGTAAAATTCAAAATGGCCGACTTCCTGTTGATTTTAGGGCATCGCTCCAAGAGGCTTTTTTGTGCGTCTGGACAAGATACACGTACCACAGAAAATTCGTGCACGTAGGAAACGTGCGGCGGGGGCTGCTTCGTTAAAAGTCACTTCCTGTTGCCAGCAGGTGGCGCTATGACTGTCTGTGAATGTCAGCATGTACATGTGTTCAGGGCGGGACTCTCATCCTACATGTACAGTTTGGTCCAGATGTGAGCATGTACACTGAAGTTACGACAACTTCCGTGTCATGGCGAAGAGTTGATCTTTGACGCCACGCCACGGACACGCCCATTGACGAAAACTTGCAAATAGCACAACTTTTCATCTTCAATGCCTTTAGAAGGCACAGCACAAATTTGAGGTCGGTCGGACTAAATCCCTAGGAGGAGTTCGTTAAAGTACGAAGTGTGTAAATCATCCAAAATTTGACGTAAAATTCAAAATGGCCGACTTCCTGTTGATTTTAGGGCATCGCTCCAAGAGGCTTTTTTGTGCGTCTGGACAAGATACACGTACCACAGAAAATTCGTGCACGTAGGTAAACGTGCGGCGGGGGCTGCTTCGTTAAAAGTCACTTCCTGTTGCCAGCAGGTGGCGCTATGACTGTGTGAATGTCAGCATGTACATGTGTTCAGGGCGGGACTCTCATCCTACATGTACAGTTTGGTCCAGATGTGAGCATGTACACTGAAGTTACGACAACTTCCGTGTCATGGCGAAGAGCTGATCTTTGACGCCACGCCACGGACACGCCCATTGACGAAAACTTGCAAATAGCACAACTTTTCATCTTCAATGCCTTTAGAAGGCACAGCACAAATTTGAGGTCGGTCGGACTAAATCCCTAGGAGGAGTTCGTTAAAGTACGAAGTGTGTAAATCATCCAAAATTTGACGTAAAATTCAAAATGGCCGACTTCCTGTGTTTAGGCTATGGCTCCAAGAGCTTTTTTGTGCGTCTGGACAAGATACACGTACCACAGAAAATTCGTGCACGTAGGTGAAACGTGCGGCGGGGGCTGCTTCGTTAAAGGTCACTTTCTGTTGCCAGCAGGTGGCGCTATGACTGTGGGTGAATGTCGGCATGTACATGTGTTCAGGGCGGGACTCTCATCCTAGATGTACAGTTTGGTCCAGATGTGAGCATGTACACTGAAGTTACAACAACTTCCTGTTTCATTGCGAATCATCGACGCCACGGACACGCCCATTGACGAAAACGCGCAAATAGCACAACTTTTCATCGTCAATGCCTTTAGAAGGCACAGCAGAAATTTGACGTCGATCCGACTAAATCCCTAGGAGGAGTTCGTTAAAGTACGAAGTGTGTAAATCATCCAAAAATGGCCATAAAATTCAAAATGGCCGACTTCCTGTTGACTTTAGGCTATGGGTTCTTGAGGCTTTTTTGTGCGTCTTGATACGATACATGTCCCCAGAAAATTTCGTACATGTAGGTTGAACGTGAACGAGGGGCTAATCATTTCCAATTTTAGGTGGCGCTAGCGAGTCATTTTGCCACGCCCATGTGCGAAACTTGTAGAATACGAAATTTTTCACCGGTTCTGACATGTTTGCAAATTTTGGTGAGTTTTCGAGTATGTTTAGGCCATGTCATTTGGGCCTACTTTGCAGAAAAAAAAAAAAAAAAAAAAAATATATATATAATCCGAGCAATTCAATAGGGACCTCGCACGGTCGTGCTCGGGCCCTAATAATCCGAGCAAATTCAATAGGGACCTCGCACGGTCGTGCTCGGGCCCAAAAATAATCCGAGCAAATTCAATAGGGACCTCACACGGTCGTGCTCGGGCCCTAATTTATGGGTCCTTGGAGCAACATAATCAATATTAATTCAAATTTCACTTTGCTTTGTTCTTCTGGAAGAGACCAAGATTAGACCACTTGTTCAATCAGCCAGAATTTGCAAACTAAGACTCTGGTTCGCCGGTTTACTTGTTTTGCTAAAATTGGCACATTCCATGTTTGATTAACAAGCATCTGACACATGGTCCTGGAGACTTATCGGAATCACTTCACCACCCAGCCAAGCATATTGTATTTGATTAACTGAAACTAATAAAATGGTAGGAAAAATTGTACCTTTACCGCTTGTGGCGTCCTCCTAGAGGGCAAAACATAAACAGCTAAAGTCATAAACATTTTATTTAAGTTTAATTAACTCATGATTTTCTGGTTTTCTCCTCATTTTTCTCACAGCCTGGATGTGTGAATACAACGGAAGTCGACATAAAGAAGTCCTCCAGAATGAAAAACCCTCACAAAACCAGAAAGGTACAGTGCAACTTCCCACTGATACATATTTTTTTTAAGGTCAGGGTTGACACACACTGTAACAGACATGAACAGACAAGCTTGTTGTTCCTTGCTGTGCTTGTCAGCAGCTGCAAGGCTACTACTATTGATAGTTATATTTATGTTTTTTGTTGTCTCAGTCTGTGTATGGGCTGCAAAACGATATCCGTACACACAGCCCAACCCACACCCCCGCCCCAGAGGCCAAGCAGCCTACAGAAGAAGAACTGCAGGAACAGGTAAGACCTGCAGATGGCACTCTACTATTGAAGAATTTTCATCTGTTACTTTATATTTACATCATTTTTGGTATGCAAATAATTGTATTGAAAATCAGTTTAGTAAAATGATGATATGTTCATACTGAACACAAAGTAGTACAGAGTTTAAAATTCTCAAATATCATCCAGCTGGTATGCAAATATACTTTCAAACCAACAATTCCTTGTGAATTCATGGAGATTGATTGCTAATGCTAATTGTTCACTGCTATGGTTTCAGATCACCTATTGGCAATTGCAATTAGACAGGCATCGACTGAAAATGTCCAAAGTGGCGGAGAGGTGAGTGATGTTCTTTGTGTCTTTATTCAATTTAGCCATTGATCTGTTTATTGAGCCTTTAAATGGCCTAACATGGTGTGGAATTAAGCTACGATGACCTTGAGGAGTGATTGGGCCCGGACAATGCCTACAGTGAGTGTCAGCACTGATAATGCCAGATACTGGATGTCACATAAAGTGTCGATTTGTCCAAAAAAAGAGAGGTACGGAAGCCCTGAGAGGAAAGTGGAAAAAAAACATTCTAGTGATCCATTTTTTGGGATCTAAATTTGTATTCTCTCCTGTGTATATGACTTAAGAACACATGAAAAAACATTTTGACAGGCGAACAAAAATACGTTTTGCCAGGATAATTTATCGAAGTAGCTTAAACATTGTTTTTCATCTGTGAAACAGGTGAGGAAAGTACAGCACTACCCCATGTTCTAAATAGGACTAAAAGCATTTATGTTTTCTTCCAGATGAGTTTTAATTTCTCCATGCACTCTAACTAAAAGTTATGTAACATTACTGTTATGTCTAGAAATCTGCGCTTTACCTGGGCAAAAACATGAATGCTTTTAGTTCTATTTAGAAAATGGGGTAGTGGTGCACTTGACTTCACTATTTATTACAACAAAAACACTTCTTTCACAGATAATATAAGGAAAGGAACTTAGACAGAAAATAATCCTGACAAAAAAAAAAATTCACCTGTTATTAAGGTATAAACACAGGACAAAAACGACTCTGATCAGACTTTTTTTCTCACTTGCCTCTCAGAGCTTCTGTACAGAGATACATCCAGCAACAAGTTCTCTGTCCAAATACTGGGTCAATCCCTCTAGTCAGACTCTACCTTAATTTGAATTTGAAGTATTTGCTTTCAAGAGGAAATTTCACTTCTCCTTTTACCAATTAAAGCTTACAATTAAACAACTAAGTCATATTCACTCACAGAAAGGTATGGCACATAATTACACCAGACGTGGTAACTTGATTATAATATATGTGAGATTTCCATCAGTGATACAGATTGATGTAAGTCATATGTTCTCTGTTTTTTCTCCTCAACAAACAGTTTGCTGGGCTACACAGAGCAGTATGTTGAATATGACCCCTTCCTCACGCCTTCAGATCCATCTAACCCCTGGATCTCAGATGACGCTACACTCTGGGAGCTCGAAGCCAGGTGGGTAAATGAACAAAACAGATATTTAGATGGATACACAGGTTGATATGTGTTTACATTTTATTCTATGTTTTGTTGCACACATATTTCATTTGTGAAAGATAGGTTGTATTTTTGTGTGTTCTCCAGTAAGGAGCCAGGCCAGCAGAGGGTAAAGAGGTGGGCTTTTGGCATCGATGAGGTTCTCAAAGATCCTGTGGGGAGAGAGCAGTTCCTCAAGTTCCTAGAGTCTGAGTTCAGCTCAGAGAATCTCAGGTACACAGTGAAATAGACACCAATCTCCGAGCGCTGACTCACACACACACACACACACACACACACACCATACTTGTTTTTTGTTACTTATGAGAACATTGTTTTGCCTGAAATAATATTAAAGCCTCTATCTGTATTTTTGACAACTTATATGAAGAATATTCACATGCATGACTAGATAGTTTGACTTACATCCAGATGAAATAGCGTTTTGTTTTCAGCTGATTATAATTAAAAATATCGGACTGTTTTACTGTCATGTGTACTCCGAAGTGATGTAAATAAACCTTTTACGTCATCATAAAACTAAAACCTAGATATAGTTATTAGGTCAGTCTGTGTATTAAAACACCTGACAACAGTGGTGGAAGAAGTACTTAGACCTTTTACCTAAGTAAAAGTAGTATTACAGCAATGTTAAAATAATCCAAGTAAAAGTCCTGCATTCAAAATAGACAAGAGTAAAAATACAGAAGTATAATAACCTAAATGTATTTAAGTATGAAAAGTAAAAAGTAGTCACTATGGTTTATGGCCACTTTCAGAGTGTTAGAATAATCTAACATTAACATGTAACATTGATTTTAATGTTATGATTGTTTGAGGCAGAACTCATTTTAACTACTTCCCACATGGGTCCCCAAGATGTGACTGTGTGAACAGATATTGGCCACAGTGTCATTAATACAAGCAGATTGTACTGGATAATAACTAATAACTAACTAATAATAACTAATAATTTTTCTGTGATTCTCTGATGATAAGAGACATCATCAATCTCAATAGTAGCTCACTTGATTGTGTTTTTACACCCTGTACAAGTGCTTGCTTAATTATTGGTACATTTCATGTCAGCAACAACTTGGAAGCTAACAACTATTACTGTTGTTACTGCTGCTGTTGCTTTTTCCTATGTATAAGAAGTAACCTACAGTAATATTGTATCATCAAAGCAGAGTGAGCTGGTGGATGCAGCATTTTTTCATAAATATGCACAACTGTAGCTGTGGCTGGAATTACACAGGTGGGCAGGAAAATTATGTTAATCTGTTTATTCACGAATACCGCAGAGTATCAAAGGTGCATGCTAACAGCTAAATATGAATGTGCAGGATAGCCCCTCTGCTCCCTCTGATGGTACATGTCTGTATTGTTTCTGCCCAAAGCAGATAATGTGGTCTATAATGTGGTTTGATTAAATTATCATTTAATCTCTCAGGCAGTTGAGCGTATATTAACGCTCCACTAATTGAAAAGATATAGATTATTAACAAAAAGCATGCTGCTATTCATGGACATAATAACCCTATAAACCTTAACTTGTCCTCTCTGCTGAGGTGTCCACCAGTAAACACACACTAAAATTCTTACCATGAATCTTATCTCATTTGTAATAATAAGATGATGGACCAAATTTGTTAATGTAATATGTGTAAAATAGAATCGGATGCTCTTCACTGGAATTTTTGAATTATTATTGGAGATTATTTTCTGAACCATAATGAATGCATATCAAGAGACTTTGTTGGCAGCATTTTAAACCTGAATGTGAACCCTAAGGCAAATTACCTTTTACGTTTGTTTACATAAAGATGTAATTTGTGGACTATGCTGTCTGACTTCTGACTTTGAAAAATATGACATTGTAAATGGACAATACCCAGGGATGGTACCAGTGTGGATCTGACTACCTTATCCTTGCTAACTTTTATGCCAATTTCTGTTTGACATAGTTTACTACTAGCTATACCACTTCCAATTTGCGGTCCAGAACTACTGTATTAAGCACCTATCTTACTGTTAACTTTGGTCTGTAGGTTCTGGCTAGCTGTCCAGGAACTAAAGAAACGTCCCATCAGAGAAGTTCCAACTCGGGTTCAAGAGATCTGGCAGGAGTTTCTGGCCCCTGGAGCGCCCAGTGCCATCAACGTTGACTCCAAGAGCTACGACAAAACCACCCAGAATGTCAAAGATCCTGGACGCTATGCCTTCGAGGATGCACAGGTGCAAATGATACAAATACATTTAATTACATTTCTGTAGTTGTTTGTGTTATGTACAATTTTACACTGCACATAAGTATAGTGTAAGTGACACAAAAGCAGCGTCATAACTCCTGGCAATATGTGAATCACAGCTTTGTTTTGGTGGTCAGTATAGCATTTTATTGTTTTTATGCAGCACAATGTGTTGATCATGTTTCTGATGCTTTTATAAATTTCTTTCACATTATGTGTCTCTACAACAGGAACACATCTACAAGTTGATGAAGAGTGATTCTTACAGCCGTTTCATCCGTTCCAGTGCCTACCAAGAGTTATTACAGGCCAAGAAGAAGGTTAAAAAAACCTTATAGCCTTTAATGTTTAAGCTTGAAAATAAGATGAGACGCAGAGAAGTACATGTAGATGACGGTGCAAGCTTACAACCTTTGTTGTTGTTTGTACATACACTGATGATGCAGTCTCTTGGTGATGTTAAAACCTTCCCCCATGGCACCCACAGTCACACCTTTTCAAAGTCTATTAAATCACACTTTAAACCCATTTCCAGTAATCCATTCACATACAAAACAAGCATGGAAGTTGCTGTTGCACTCACCTGTAGTGACATATTTTCTGCTACAGGCGCCGGTTTGATATAATTGTACTCACTCAAGTGTATACAGATATCTTTGACCACTAAGGGGCAGAAAATCATTGTAGATTTAGAACAACACCTGCATCCAAATGCAGTTCTGTTTCTATTCCTTTTGGTTGTGGTTTGGTCTCCATTAACTCCTAAACAAAAGCTAGTCTGTCTTGAGCTGCAGAGTTAGATGGCACTCCAGGCAACTCCTTTAAATTACATGTAGTCATTTGTGTCATATTGCTTAGTGTAGGTTTAACTATATGTCTCCTACAAAATATACTATACTGTATCTGAAAGTGATATAAAATTCCTGAATACAGCGGTGTGTGGTAGAATTGCTTAAAAGTGCAAAACAGGTCAAACCAAAGAACATGTCAAACAAAATGGCACCTGCATGCCAGCAATATCAATGAGAGAGAGTGACTACAACGTATTAATAGAGTCTGCTTCAGGTGTGGATGATGGAGTAGGTGATCAGGATTCTTGACAGGCTTGTAGAAACCATTATGAATAGCAGAGCCACAGAGACTATCATAACATGATTGATAATTCAGAATTATACAGGTATATCCATGTGCTTAAAATCTGCACTGTCTCACACCTCCTACATTTTCTCTGCTTGTCATTCTGACAAAGATGATTTTAATATTATAGCTAGAGTTTTGTTTTTATAAAATGCTTGGCTTTCAATAGCTTTATAATGATGGCAGAGAACTCGTTCTCTATTGTGTTTTTGAGGTAGTCTGAATGGAAAGCTCTTGTCTATCTAGCTTACAAATTGTTATACTCTACATATTATGATTTATGTATGAATCATTTGCATGGTAAACTTACTTCATTTAAAGTGTCTTTTTTGTTCCCTTAGAAAAGTAAGAACTTGTTCTGAAGGCTCTTGATTCCAGGTAATGTCCAGTGCAAAATGATGCATACTGTACTTGTCATTTAGTTATTGTATTGTAATGGCCAATCATTGTAGATATCTTGTCACAGCCACTATTTTTAGAACCATTTCAGGTTTTAAATACACATACTATACGTAATGTTACAATTACATTCAGCTCAAACCTTAAATTTGCACAGTGCATGCAATAACATTCCAGCACCATGTCCATGGCTGATCATTTTGTTATTAAACCCAAATTTAAATGTATTTATTGTCTTTCATTCCCACTTACATATTTAACTCAATCTCTCTTCTCACACAGGGGAAACCACTGACATCCAAGAGGCTGACCAGTCGTGTGCCATCATGCTAAAATCAATGCCATCTCTCTCTCTGGGACATGGAGAGGGGGACCATCTCATCTCTTCGTCATCATTGTCTGTTCATCCACTCTTGGCTCAGCTGGGCAATGAGCCGGGCCGTCTGTTTGTCTGTTGTCCACCGGATGTTGCATGTCCATGGAGAGGAGGTTCCTTCTTCTCTCTCCTCTTACAGTTCCTGATAAATTTCCAGTATTCTCAGAAAGGAGGCACTGCTGGACTTGTGAGGACACTGACTGGTGAGATGAAAAATATCAGATCCAGTGTTCCAGTTCCTTCTATCATAACAGCTGGATCGGAGCCCCCTCTCTCACTTCCAGCTGAAACAAATGATGTCAGAGAGAAAAAAACACATAGAAAAGATATATAAAATGACAACTTAAACTGATAAATCTAACCAATGTCATTGCTTTACATGATCTGAGGTCACAGATACTTTGTCACGCTATGGGAAGTGTTGTGCAGAATGAATATACTATATATATATAGATATATACATATATATTATGATTATTATGATTATTTATTGTGCATTTATTTTGCTTTGCATAATTTTATTCACTACAACAATTAGCACATATGGTTTTCATTGCACTTGTATAGTCACATTGAAAATTACAAAAATGCTGTCTCCTGTCTTATGTAGAACATAATTCTTTGTATTCTCTCCTGCATTTATTTTTATACCATATTTAAAGACACTTTACTTATTGTATTATTAAAGTTGGCCCTCTATCTGTTACTATGACCTGGGGTTGGATTATTTGAACTATGCATACACAAAGTGTCGCATTAGCTGTGAAGATTTAGGGTAGCATTCATTCTGCAGGATTAAAACAATCTCAAGAACAGTGCTTGAACAATGCACTTTTGCTTTCTACCACTAGATGGTATTAAATGATTTCCTACAGCAGTGATCTGCCTCCTCATCACAGAGCAGCAAAATATACCACAGCACTCTGCAGACAAATGACGTTTTGTCATGAAAAATTGTCATCATCCTCTGGTCTGCTGAAGGGGTTATTGTTCAGACTGTATCCCTCTGAGGTTTTGCAGGGTATGTTGATGTTTCAGCTCTTTGATGGCAGGAGTGACAGTCAGTGTTCAGTCTCTGTGCCCAGTGGTCAGCTTAGCAAGAGCCACAAACAGACAAACATTATTGTCTCAGTTGCATCAAGGAATGCGAATTGTGGCATTTTTCAAAGCATCCGTTTAGTGTGTTGTCTGGGTACACACATACAATGATTTATTGGGGATTGGGGATTATGGGCTTAATGTGATGTTGTCTGAGAGCCAATGAGAGAGGATAATTTAGAGTTTTTGTAGTAGATCATTGTTTCTTTTACAGTTTGTCCTTTATCGGCTGTGGTGGCAAAATGCCATCCACTTCCTAAAAATGCAAATGTAAATGTTAAACACGGGAAGAGTGAAAGAAAATTTGGAATGGAAAATAGAGGACAAAGGAAAAGCTGTCATTTTGATAGGTTTGATATATCATGAATTGATGGGCATTACAAAAAAAGATATCAAAGAAAAATCTCAATAGAGGCAGAGAAACAAACTTAAATGGAAGAAGTAAAGCTTGGTTGATTCACACAATGACCAGGGCCAATAGGATCCCTCCCAGT